TTCCTGCCTCCTCGGGAACAAAGGGAATTCTGTCTCGGCATCTGTCACCGCCGCCCACCCAAAACTTTCCGCCGCGCCCGGCTGCCCGCCCGCCGCCGCGGGACGGCCCCGCACCGGCCCCGGCACCGAGACCCCGGCGCGGCCCATGCGAGCGCCCAGGCGGCGGCGGCGGCCCGGGGGTGAGCGCAAAGATGGATCCCGGGGGGCGCGGGGGGAGCGGGGCGGCCCCGCGCCTTTGTGCGGGACGGAGCGGGACGGGCCGCGCCGGCGCTTCCCGAAGTTTGCGGGAGCCGCGGCCGGGGGTCCCGCCCGCCCCCGCTGCAGCTCGGAGTTACGGCGGAGTTTGCCCGGCCGGGGACAACTCGGGGCCGGCGGCAGAGTGCGGGGGCCGCTCTCCGGCTCCTCTCTGCCCCCGCCGCCCGAGGGGCCGCGGCCGCCGCTGCCCCGCTTTGTGTCGGCGGCCCCGGCCCCTCGCTGCCTGTTGCGGCCGGAGGGGCGGCGGGGCCCGGCCCGCAGCGCCCCGCTCCGCCGAGCCCCGGCCCGTGACAGCCGCCCCCGCCTCCATCCCCGCCGCACAATGACCCCGCGTGGTTCCTCTCCCACTCTCCAGCTCCGGCCTCTTTCTCCTGCTGAGATTGTTTTTGTTTTTAACTTCCCCTCCTCCACCCTACCCCATGCTTGATTTTTTTTTTTTCCTCCGTTGCGGAGCCCCCCGAACCCCGAGTTCCCCCGAGCCCCGTGCGTGCGCCGAGATCCTCCGCACCCCCGGGGCTCTGTTTGGTGCCCCTGTTGTCCCGCCGGTGCCGGTCGTTTGTACCCCCCACCGGGGGTCTCTGCCTCGGGATTCCACCCAGGCGGGCCCGGAGGGGGTGAGACCCCCCGCTGGAGGCGGGGGGAGGTCGGTGGGAGGCCCCTTCCCCTCCCCCGACCGGAGACCGCCTGAAGCTCCCTTTGGTTCCCCCTCTCCAGGCTTCAGCCAGGGGGGTCCCGCGGGCAGCTCCACCATGTCGGACAGTGACCCGGGGGATGAGGACGGAGCCACATCCCCTGACCCCTCGCAGTGCAAGAGGAAGAGAAGGGGCAACCTCCCCAAAGAGTCGGTGAAGATCCTGCGGGACTGGCTGTACGAGCACCGCTTCAACGCCTACCCCTCGGAGCAGGAGAAGCTCAGCCTCTCGGGGCAGACCAGCCTCTCCGTGCTGCAGGTAGGAGCCGGCGCCCACCCGCTGGGGACACCGCTGGGGACACTGCCATGAGCTGTGGGACAGGAGAACCCCGCCGAGGATCCCAAAGGTCTGGGCAGGCAGGGATCATTTGCCACTGAAGGGCAGAAAGGAAGCGAGGGAAGGGATGTTGGGGAAGGAAAGGCACCTGTGTGAAGGGAGGGTCTTTTCTGGGGAGAGGTCTGAGCTCTGGGGACCAGCTCTGCTGGAGCAGAAGGTGGAGGGACTGGAGTGGGGACAGGCTGAATACCCCGTTGTCAGTAGAAGCTGCACAGGTGGGAGGGTTTTGGGGGAAGCTGCTCGATCCTGTGCCCCTGGACACCCCCAGCAGGATGACCACCCCCTGCACACAGAGCTGGGCAGAGGACAGCCCTGGGGCTGGGCAAGGCCAGGAGTTGGACTTGATTATCTTTGTGGATCCCTTCCAGCTGAGGGTATCCTGTGATTTTAACCAGAAGGGAGAGGCTGGGCTGCACTTGGAGTGCCCTGCACTGTTACGTGCTGGCTGCCCACCTGGTCCCGGTTACACCAGCTGCATTAAGGGGAGCCCTGTCCAGGAGTCTCCCTGTCCTGCTCCCAGCTGTGGGCTGATGTTCTCCGTGTGGCACCATGTGGCAGGAGCCCTGGGCAGCAGTGGGGGTGAGCAGTGCTTGTCCTTCCCACTCTGGCGTGGTCCCTGCCTGTGTTTGGGCTGTCTGGGAGGGCCTGCCCAGCTGCTGGCCCTGTGCTCCATGCTCAGGCCTGCTGCCCTGGGCCCTGTCCCCCTCTCCCAGCCTGGCAGGGTGTGGGCTGCGCTCTGTTCTCTGGCTCTGGGCTGCAGTGGGGTGCAGGCAGCAGGCAAGGGCCACTGGCTTTGCTCCTCTCCTGGAGCTTCCTCTGTACCTCTGGCTCCTCTCCCCGTGGCTCAGCACAGTCCTGGCAAGCTGTCCCAGCCCAGACACCGACTGTGGGCAGGGGCTGTCTGCTTCCCCGCTTCCTGGGCAGCAAGGCAAACCTGCTCTTTCACTTTAATGTGTTTCTATGAGTGCTGGCTGTGCCACAGAACCGTGTCCAGCAGCTGCTTGGGGACAGCCTGGAGCCCCTGGGCAGGTTTGAGGCTGAGAGTCAGGGGAGCAGTGAAGCAGTGACAGGCCCGGGCTGTGGGACCTGGGCAGGTCCTGGCCCGGGTTGGCATGACAGTGCCTGGCACATGGGGGTTGCCCAGGGCTCGGGTGGGACTGGCAGGTGCCCGGCTGTCAGTGCCCTGAGCCCCGTGGGACCCACAGGGGGCTGGCACACGGGTGAGCTCGTGTTGAGATGTGGCCCTGCAGTGTGCCAGCTGTTTTTTGCCCCAGGTGACCCCAGAGCCAGCGTGTGCCCCTGGTACCACTGTGCAGAGGGTCCCAGCCCGATGGCATTCCCCATTGCCAGCTGAGGGCTGGGACCGGGGTTTCTGCCAACCTGAGGGGCTGCAGCAGGAACCCCTGGGGATGCTCCCTCTGCCTGCTGGGGTGGAGGAATGGGACACCCCACAGTCTAGCTGTGGGATTCAGTCTGTGATGCTGATCTGACCTCTCCAAAAAAGCCTCTGGAATGCAGGGCTCTGCCACAGCCACTGGCCAACCCTTGTCTCCCCCCCACCCCTCCCAGGTTGTTTCTTTGTGCATCCCCTGGCTGCTCCAGCGGTCGGGGGAGCTGGAGCTATGCACTGGCAGCCAGGGATCAGGGAGAGCAGGAAGCCCTGTGCCTCCCTTGCAGGAATTCCAGTGCTAGGAAGGTGGCACCTGGTCCCACTGAGGCTTCCTGGACAGCAGCAACTTTCCAAGCCTGTGCCCAGCTGTGGGATGAATGGGCTTTTCCTCCCTGTGGAGGAGCTGCTGCTCTCACAGTACAGAGGGACAGACACTGCCCAAAGGGACAGAGCGGGGTGTGCTGGCGAAAGGAAAAGGGATGGACTAAACCAAATAAACTGCTTCAGAGCCAGAGTGTGTGCCAGCTCTGTGACAGTGCCTGCTGTCACAGTGGCTGTGTGGCCACATCTCCGGGTCCCATTCTCCAATGGGAATTGAATGCTGGAAGGAGCATGTTGGTGGGGACAGGTTGGATTTTGGGGGTTCTCAGCACTGAGGAGTTGGGCTTTTTGTTAAGTTGGGGATCACAATGGTGGATGGCCAGGATCGTGTCACGGGGACCCAGCTAAGGCCTGCAAGGGAGGGGGTGTGGAACAGAAAAGGGAGTAAGACTGGCGTATTTGAGGGTTTTAATGCTAAATACTGTCATAAAGAAAAAAATGACAACTGTGATCTTGCTGTGACTGAAGTTGTGGCAAGTTCTCTCTCCTTGGGGGAAATGTTTTCCATAGCTGTTTATTTAGGAAAAATCAGACTTTTTTTCCCCCCTTGATTTATTCTCTTCTAATTGTATTCTAGGAAGAAGGCAGTTATTTAAATGTAGCATTTTATATAAAGATGGTGAAACAATCCATGGCCAAGGCTCAATAATGGCGAAGGGCTGCCAGACATGCAGCCTCCATGCTGTGCAGTTGTTTGGGAGAGCATTTGGTGTGAGTTGTGACCCTGCTCATGGGCATAGGCATGGGAAGGTGTCTCGGCTGCCCCATTCCTGGCCCTGTTATGGGCTGAGGGGCTGCAGTTCCATCACCTGATGGCTTCTAGGGTTTTCCATCTGTGCTGCTCTCCTGCCACCCGTCTGCTCTGGCAGCCTCAGTGCTCCTGTTCGGGTTGGCAGCAGTGTGGAAACAGGGCTGAGCTCCAGGCAGGATAGGTCACCTGGAGAAGGAAAATCTGTCCCCGGGCTGGGGACCTGCAGAGTGGGCTCCGAGCTGGCTCTGTGCAATGCCATGGGCTCTGGCTGGGGAATGGCAGGAGCGGTGCTGTACCTGCCTGCAGCTGGGGCCTCGGGGCTGCAGTGGGGGCGCAGCACTGAGCCCCTCCTGCCCTGGGGGCCGCTCTGCTGAGAACCCCCGCAGCTCCCGGGGCTCCGGGCACAGCTGCTGCGGCTGGGGGTGGCTCGGCCCCGGGGCAGCGCCGGCTGTGCCCGTTCCTGTGCTGGGATGGGGAGCAGGAGCCGCGGGGCACGGTCCCGCAGCGGGGGCTGGCAGGGCCAGGGGCGGCCGGGCCAGGGCGCGGGGAGGAAGGGGCTGCTCCGGGCAGGCGGTGCCAGGCAGGAAGCAGCCGGTGTTGGGGTTTCCGTGGGTGCCGGCGCTGGCTGTGCCTCTCCGGGGCCGCTCGGAAGGAGGTGCAGGGCTGGGGGGGAACCCTGTGGGAGTCCGGCTGTGTGGGAGCTGCTCGCCTGCTCTGGGGGAGCTGCTGCTGGTGTGACCCGGGGCCGCAGCCCCCGGCTGATCCCGCCGCGCCCTCTCTCCTCGCAGATCTGTAACTGGTTCATCAACGCCCGGCGGCGGCTGCTCCCCGACATGCTGCGCAAGGACGGCAAGGACCCCAACCAGTTCACCATCTCCCGCCGCGGGGGCAAGGCCGGCGACGCGGCCGTGCCGCGGGGTGCTGCCGTCGGCCCCGGGGTGCTCGTGGTGCCGCCCGCGGGCACCTCCAAGGTGCTGTCGATGTCGGTGTGCCCGCAGGTACTGTGCCACCCGGCGCGGGCGCTGGCCGTGGTGAGCGCCCACAGCCCCGAGTGGGAGAAGCCGCCCGGGCACGAGGCCGTGCCCAGGGCGGGGCCCGGCGGCAGCACCCTGACCCTGCTGGCGCGGGCCGAGGCGGGCAGCCCCACTCCCGGACTCTTCAACACGCCGCCCCCGACGCCCCCCGAGCTCTTCGGGGACGACTTCAGCAGTTTCCAGCTGTTGGTGGAGGTGGCTCTGCAGAAGGCGGCCGAGCTGGAACGGCAGCGGCAGGGGGGGCAGCTGCCCCTGGCTCCCCACGCCGAGCCCCCCGGAGCCTCCAAATAACCCCGGGCCGGGTCCCGCAGGGTGCCCTTCCCCGGGGGGCCCGACCCTCCCGGCCTCTGCCTCACCCCCACAGCCCATCCCAGGAGCGGCTCCTGCCCCCGGGTCTCTGGTGTCTCTCGGCAGCCAAGGCGGCAGAGGAAGGCCGGTCCCACCCGCCATCCCCCCGTGGAGATGCCCTGGCTGCCGAGGACGGTGCCCCGGTCTGAGCCCAGAGCTCAGCGCTGGCAGCGCCCTGTCCCTGCCCACGGCCGGAGCGGGCGCTGGAGCTCCCCTGGAAAACCTGCTGATCTCTCTCCTGCAAACAAGGGTCCAGCCAGCACCGTTTCTCCAGGAAGACAGAGAGAACCTGTTTTTTAATGCCAGTGTTAGGACTGTGGCTGAAGAGCTTTGTCTCCCAAATACCTGATACTTTCCTCCTGCCACCCTTCCCCCCGGCCCTCCTTTTGTTTTTGGGGGCCTTTCTGTTTCCCGGTGCTGGCCAGGGGGCCTGCCTTGCCCAGGGAAGGGCAAAGGACAGATGAACTGGAAACATTGAGTCTGTGGCATTTTATCATGGAAAAAATAGGACCCTCCTCTTCCTTTTTAGGTTGTTCTGGATGCTGCCAGTAGAAATCTCTATGGTGCTGTTTAGCAAGTTTTTTTGTTGAAACATTTTCCCTTTAATTGTGATTTATTACATGATTATTACTTTTTTTGCTTTACTTTTTTTTTTTTTTTTTTTTTTGTTTAAATCGGTAAGCATTTCCACACGCCTTCCCGGCGTTCCCGTCGAGTTCAAGCCGAATGTGTGCACGCTGTGCCCGGAGCAGTGAGTGCGTGGCCAAGCCCGGGCACAGCTGAGACTGTGAATTTTGTACCCGACTTCATTTCCTTTTTTATTTTATTTTATTTTATTTTATTTTATTTTATTTTATTTTATTTTTATTTTATTTTATTTTTTTCCATAAAACCTTTGTAAAGAGGCGTGGTGCAGGCACGGCCATGTGCGTCCTGCAAGTGCAGCGCGGGGGTCCTGGGAGGCAGCGCGGGGCGGGCGGAGGGCGGAGATGTCGCTCGCTGTCCCCTCCCCTCGCAGCGTGCCTGTGCGCTGCTGGGGACCTCTAGTGACAAACTGGCGGGTGCTGGGATGGCCGGGCCTGCGGGGCTTCGGGGCTCTGGGGCAGTGTTTGGGCTCTGGAGCGGCTCCTGGCTGGGTGTCGCTTGCTGTCCCTCCCTGGGCGCTGCGCCGGGCAGGCGCCCGTGCGGATGTGGCTCAGTGGCTGTGCCCTGGCCGGGCAGCGCCAATCCCCCCGGTGCCCAGCTAGATGTAGGTGATGACTGGAGGGGGTAAAGCCGCAGGAGCGGGAGCTCTGCGGGGTGGGGGGAGAGCACGGGAGGGCGCGGGGCTGAAAGGAAGAAGCACTGATCTGGGGGCTGGTGTGTTCCCGCCCCCCATTTCTTCAGAGGAAGGTGCCGGGGAGGGGCTGCCGTGGGGAGGTTTCCCAACAGCGTCACCTGGGCAGGTGCCCTGTGCAGTGCTGGGGGGCACTGGGGCGGCTCGCTGCCCATCGTGTGCCTCTCACCCCCACCTCCATTTCTATGCCCAGCCTTCGTTTGCCCTTTGTCTCCTTTCCAGGGAAAGTCCTCAATTTTGGGACTCTCACCATGTCACCCTCCTGCTGCTCTGTCTCTTGCCCTGGGGGAGGGAGAGGCTGTTTGGCCTCCTGCTCTCTTGCCCCAGTCAAACCCAAGTGGTTTCCTTCTCCAGAGCTGTGCCTGTGCCAGGGGCTGGTGCTGCTGCCCTGGGATGGACCAGAGAGTTGGGAGGGCAGGACTTACTGGAATTAAATTTATGGAGAAATAACAAACTACTGTAAATATATTTTTGTTTTTCTATTGTCAAATAAAAGGTTTTTTTAGTTTTGGTTGTTATTTTTAAATATGAGTTGTGTGTCAGAATGAGCTGTGTCATTTGTGGGTGCCCCACTATGGTTCTCCACCCCTAGGAGAAACCCCTGGGCCACTCTGGAGCAGCACTCGGGTGTCCCCCACTGTCCATGGGCTTTGTGCTCGGGGTCAGATGGGGGATGGGGCACATTCCCATGGGGAGTGGGGGGCTGGAGCCAGGGCAAGGTCTGCCAGCCCAGCTCGGGGGTCTGCACTGTGACAGGGGGTCACAGCTGGGGACACCACAGCTCTGCTGCCCCTGCTGTGGCCCCAGGCAGACCTCGTGGCCCCTGAGCCGCACACGGGGGTCCAGCAGGGCCTGGGGGCCCCCCGGCAGCTCCAGCAGAGAGCAGCAGCTCCCGGAGGCTCAGGGACAGCGAGCCGGCTGGAGGCACCGAGGGACACCATGGGGCACAGGGGGGAGGCACCGTTCTGACTGCCCCCACACCACCCCCACCGCCTCCAGGCATCAGCCGGGGCTGCTGGTGCTGGAAGGGCTCCTCCAGAAGCGCCCCCAGCCCTGCAGCCCCCCAGGCCCCAGGCTCTGACCCAGGCACACACAGTAGCCTCATTAACGTGACGCTCTCCTATTTCCCATGCTTCCCAGGGTGGTTTGGGTTGGAAAGACCATGAAGACCATTTAGGCACAGCCCCCTGCCATGGGCAGGGACACCTTCCACTATCCCAGAGGGCTCCAAGCCCTGTCCAGCCTGGTCTTTGATTCTTCCAGGGATGGGGCAACCCCAGCTTCTCTGGGCACCCTGTGCCAGGGCCTCCCCACCCTCACAGAGAGGAATTTCTTCCCAATATCCTTGATCTCTGATAATGTGAAGCCATTCACATCCCTTGTTCCAAGTCCCTCTCCAGCTCTCCCGGAGCCCTTTTAGGCCCAGGAAGGGGCTCTGAGGTTTCCCTGCAGCATTCCCTTCTCCAGGTTGAGCACTCCCAGCTCTCCAAGCCCTTCCTCCTTCTCCAACTACTCCGCCACTGCCAACCCTGCCCCACGACTCCCCACGAGAGGGCGAGGAGACCCCCCCGGCAGCTGCTCCCCCATGGCTGGGGCAGGGCTGTGCCCAGAGCAGGGCAGGCAGCAGAGACCGCTGCGCATCCCCGGGGGTCAGGACGGCTCCGCCTGCCGAGGGTCCCCAGCCCCGCGGTTGTGCCGGAGGCAGCGCGACCCCCGCGCATGGACGGAGGCGGGAGCTGTTCTCCGGGGGCCCCGGGGACAGGCGCTGTCCCGCTCCGGGCGGGGACCGGGCCGTGCCGGGCAGAGCGAGCCGAGCCGGCGCCGCGGGGCATTCCCGGGAAAGCCGCGGGAAGAGCCGGCAGCGGCTCCAGGCGCCCGAGAGCGCGGGGCTGCAGCGCCCGGCCGAGACGGGGACACGGACACAGGGGACATCAACTCCGCACACGGGACACGGAGCAAGGGGAGGCCACGCCCACCATCACCTCAAGCTCCGCCCTCTCCCAGCAGCCTCACGGCCATTCGCCGTAGCAGTACGTACTGTGCTGTGATTGGTTAATAGGGCCCGGAAGTACTGTGACACACGGCCTCACCCCTTTGTATCCATAGGGAGCGGCCATTTTGTCTCACCCGCCATCTTATGGCAGGGCGCAGCCATTTTGTTAAACGTCACGCCGCGCTGTGATTGGCAGGCAGCCATCTCGTGACACCACCATCCCCACGTGATCTCAGGCAGCCCTGTGATTGGCTGCCCCTGTCCTTTGGGCTCAGAACAGGTGGATACAAGGAGTGGGCACGAAATTACAGAAGGGTGTTAAACATCTGCAACAATTCTCAGATTTATAAATATGTGTAACACACGTACATTTTTGTACGTGTGTTACACATATTTAATTGCATATGCATATAGAAGTATGTAACTCTACCTCTGTATTTGTATATGTATTTTAATAGATGTAGGGGAATTTAAAATATTAATTATAAGATACAAAACCTTATTAAAATTAATTAATTTTTACAGGTTTATAAATTCACTTACATGTTGAAATATATGCATATATATATACAAATCCATATTATATAAGAACATAAATATTATGAGCAAGCCCAGCCCAGGGCAGCAAGGATAGCTTGACCACTCCATGAGCAGCAGTAGGGAAGAGTAAATGTTAAATAAATAAATTAACCCCCACATCTCCTTGGTGTTCCCCCTTTCTCTGCCAGTGATCCCCAAAGCTGCATCCGCCCCGAAACCCAACAGTGCAGCCCAACAAAGCCTCTGCCCCCATGGAATCTTTAGGTTTGGGAAAGGCCTCCGAGAGGAATCTCACCTGCTGCCAAACCCTGCCGTGCCCACGCACCCGCAGGTGGCACCTGCACAGACCTTTCCAACTCCTCCAGGGCTGGGGACTCTGCCCCTGCCCTGGGCAGCCCGGACCACATTCTCCATTAAGGACTTTCCCCCAATATCCAGTGTTAACCTCCCCTGGAGCAACGTGAGGCTGCTTCCACTTGTCCCCTGGGAGCAGAGTCTGACCTCCAGCTCCAGCCCAATTTGAATCCCAGCACAGCCAAGCTTTGGGAGTTCTATGGCTGGGGGCAGAGACCTCAGAGCAGCGTTCATGGACAGCCCCAGACAGCACACCATGGGCAGCAGGCGTTGTTCAGGATTTCACTTTTATTTATTTTTTGCCTTCTGGATCACCAACACTCTCACCGAAACCAGTGGGATTCCACCTCCACCCCCATGACAGTAGCACACAATCTCCCAACTTGTTCAAAAGTGTGAAGAGGAAAAAAAAAAAAAATCCCCAGCAAGATCCCTCAGGAGGGGACAAAAACCTTCTGTGTGAGAGGGTGGCAAAGAAATCAGGGGGTGGCAGCTCTGGCTCCGAGGAGCCAGACCAGAAAGGAGACCTACGAAGGGGAAGAAAAAATGGGCTAAAAAATATTTAGCAATCCTTCCTCTACCCAGAGAGCAGGGAGATAAGGAAAAAATAGTCATCTGCTTACACACAGGGTATATATTTTTACACACACTTGGACACACATCTAGATATAGTACATGTAAAAATATATGCTATACATCTGCCCACCCCCGCGGCGGCGTGGGCAGGATCCGTGTGTAGGAATTACTATACAGGTACTACTAAGTGTATATGTGCATATGTACACCCTCCTGTCTCCTCCTGGACGCGCTGACCCCACAGCCCCTGCTGCAGCAGCTCCTCTCTCCACCAGCCAGCCAAGGACAACGGGGTGGGAATGGGAAGAGGAGGGAAACCATAGAGATGTGGCTCGTGCTCTGTGCTCCTTCAGCTCCTGTGCCCGGAGCGGGGTCCGGCTCTCGGGCTCCCCTGCGCCAGGTTTATTGCACATTTTGCTTCTGGGCTGCATTTCAAGCCCACATTCCACAGCCCTGGCATCCTCTCCCTCCAACAAACTGAGGACAGGGCCCGCTGTGCCTGTCCTCCCCCGCCCCAGCATCCCCATCCCAAGAACACAAAGCCCAGCAGGCTGTTGGCTGGAGAGGGCAGCAGGAATGACACACCGTAGGTGTTCTCTGCGGGGACAGGGGGGTCCAGACACGGGAACTGAAACCATGCAAAGGGTGGGAGAACGGGAGCAGGAGGAGGGAAAAATAAAGGATGAGAAGGGCAGAACAGATCTGAGGAGGAGGAAGAACACAGCATGGCAAGTGCTCAAGGCTTCGTGTTTTCTTG